AAAAAAAAAAAAAAAAAAAAAAGAAAGAAAGAAAAGAAAAAAAACACATTCAAAAGATAATTCAAGGAGATTGGGTTAGCTTCCTGTTGCTGCAACAAATACCTTAGATAATTAATTTATGAAGAGCAAATATACACTATTTAGCTCATAATTCTGGATCACATAGCCTCATTATACTTATAAAGATGGCACATCATGGAAAGTGCATATGGAGAAATAAACTGCTTATATCACAAGCCAGAAAGCACAGAAAGACCCAGAAATGGGGATCCCACATTCCTGTATGGCGACATACTCTATAGGTACTTCCTACTTGCCACCACCTCTCAGTATCACTGCCCCTGGACCAAGCCTGTTTTCCCATAGACTGTTTGGGAGGTCTCACCTGGGTCACATCAGAGATTTCATCTCTGAAAGGGCCACTTCTCCAGAAGAAGGAATATATGACAACTTTTGGCTAATAACTCCTGAGCCATTTATCACTGAAGTGGGGAGGGAAAGAAGTCTTAAGAGTTTGAAAGGAGGAAATCCTACAGATAGTATTTCACAGTAACAGAGAACACATTTTGATGATAAATACAGCCAGACACATTATATCAGTGACTGGGAGCCAAGAAAATAAATTTACCCACACACTTCCTCCCTTCATTTTATTTATCCGGGTTTCATGTTAGCCATATCACTAAAAAAATAAAACAGAGACCATTGGAAAATTATATTATTCAAATTAAAAGTGAATGTCCCTAAAAGAGAAGCAGGTCCCATCAGCTACTGTTCCATTGCAAGATAGTATAAGTCTAGCTGTAGATCCAAAATTTTAGCCACCACTTCTGTTTTTCATATCAGGTGATAGAGAAAATGCTTCAGCCTAGAAATTAGCTTTTTGTGAGTTCTTAAATGATAAGACTTTCCTGTTCAATTACCTATTTGTCTTTCCCTTACTTTTTCATCATGGTGAGTAGACTTACTACCTGATGAGTCAAACCAAAACTTTATTCCTGACAAGTTTTATTCTTCTGCATTAACTTCTTATTAGATTGCTAAATGCTTAGTTTTCTGTTAACAAGTAAAATCAGGCAAACATTATTTGTGAATCTCTTGAGTTTCTCCTTAAATTCTTTGTGTGGGAAAGACACATTTTATTCTGGTAGATGTGAAGTATAACCATATCCAGGATAGTGACTATGTTTTCTGTCAGAACTTTGAAGGGGTATTTTTTTTTAATTTTATGTTTTATATTTTTAGTTATAATGATGTTAAAATGGTGAAGGGAGACATTTCATCTTCCAGTTTAGAGGAATGGAATTGTGTCTACATTCCTGCTGGAGGTATTAATCCTTGAAAACATGGAACTCCTAACATGACTTATTTCATTGTTAGAACAGGAATCAGAATGTATTTAGTGATTCATTGAAGATTGTGAGAGAGAACACTACCCTTGCTAACTCTTAATTCTTAAGACTGTTCCTTCTGCCTACAAAGGAAGGACATATGACCTGCTATAGGACTTCAGTGTTGTAGTCAAACAAAAGTGCCAAAACATAGGTAAAGATGACTATTTCAACCCCATCAATCCAGGAGATAAAACTAATGACAGTATAATGAGACTACTAAACCACCACAGTGAGTGAATCCCTGGCCCTTATTTTTATCAAAAGCATTTCCTGTTTGGAGATGTCGCAATATGTGTTAAAGGTTAATACATACATTTTTTTAAAAAATGAGCCTATTGGTTGCAGTGCTGACCGGAATGCAAGCGGCAAAACCAAAGCTAGTCCCAGAGTGTGGCTCTCTCATTGACACAGATGCTCCTTCCAGATGGAAGGGTTCCCATGTAATCCAGTTGTGAGGAGGTCATCATCTGGCATACTGGGCAGTACTATGGGACCAGTGGCTTAGCAAGGCCCAGTACCAGTGGCTGGTAAGGGTGGGAGCCAGAGGCTGCCATGAACATGACAGTCATCTTGACTATTTTATTGTCAACAGCAATTTCTGCTGTGGATGTGGTCTGTTCATATGACATAGGTCACTTAAATTTTCTCCCATTTACCCCTCTCATATCCATTTGTCTTTCCTAGGCCTCCTGCCACTAATTTTTTGGTTATTCTTCCCCTCTGATCAAGTGGCCATTTATTAGTTACTAAGCATGAGTCACACATGTATAGCCAAATCTACAAAAAAAAATGGAAAACAATTTTATTCAAAATCTTCCCGATTTGGAAGATTAATGTTTATTATTGTCTCCTAATATCATTCTCAAGTCAGATTGTAGTACAGAACCTATTTAATTCCAGATTGTTCATATATTTAAGTAGACCTTACATAAGCCAGGACAACATTTATTTCTCCTCTACCAGCTTCTGTTGGAAAATATTCCTCTGAACCCAGATATGAGATGACGAAGATGAAACAATACTATGGGTAATCCTGTATACTTTTTCACCCAATTCCATGTATGCCACTTTTAGTTTATAGTGGTTAATGTTCAGTTTTATGGTAGGTGGGTCAGATAAGAACCAGTGTTTGATGATCAGTTTGGATTGCATAGTCACTTGTAAGCCATACTCAGGCTGTTTCTAGTAGAGCCCAATAGAGAGCTGATTTTGAAAAACACAGTATCCATTAACATAAGACAGAACGGTCTTTCTCTAGAACTTGGAATGTGTGGGCTGTTATCTTGTGAGTGCCAAAGGTGCCGCACAGTGTCTCGGTTTGTCACAGAGACTGACATTATCATTGCCTCTGCTGGGTGACAAGATACAGGAGGTAGGGAAGGTTGCACCATGATCTGCCTCTCCCTTGTGGAGTGATTCATAGCTCGGGTTCAACACAGAGCTGGCAGGTTTTCATCTTACCTGGGAAATAGAACCAGCCAACACATGCAAACGTGGTTTGTGGTGTCTTCAAAATTCAATGTCTAATTTCTCTTTACTTTTGCACAAGTACACTCTCGATATTTTTTCTCTCACTTTAGAAGAGACACCTCACTCTGTTCCAGTCTACCTGATCTCTACAAACTTCCCCAGTCCCTCAGACTCCAAATATTTTCACTGAACTTTGATGCTAATTCTCTGCTTTTATGTAGGAAAGACAGTTTCCTCCTATAAAGATTGCCTTTGTTAGAAAGAGGAAATGTGAGAATTTTGAGGTTTAACATCTAAGGGAAGGAGGAGTAATAGGATTAGAAATGATTAAGATATGCATGTACCAAATTTGGAAAATAAACATTACTATTCTGTCCCAATAATATGCACTAGTTAAAAAGTTCTTTAGCTGTAAAATCAGCTACCTAGTGCAGCATTCAATCATGAAATTTTTTATTATAATTATAAAATTGATATTTATGAGAGTTGACCAGATAATATAAACATTTTATTTTTCTTAACTCAAATATTTTTGCCATATGTGTAAGTTTTCTAGTTTTACTTCACTGCTACCTTTATCCATGTTTAAAAGCATGAATAGTGCTGAGACCTTACTGTGCTCTAGGTCTTCAACCACTGCTATGTTCTCTTGGATCTTAGCTTTATCTTTCCCAATTACTGAAGAGAAGGAATTTTCCAAAGGTGCCATGGTAACGTTTGGTACTGTATGTGCATTCCTAATTTCCATCATGGTTTCAATTTCTCTTTTTTGCTATGTACTTTATTTGAGTTGTTAGAGTAACCATGTCATCTATATGTCGTAATTTTATAATCACTGTGGTTCTTGTAGCAGCTAAGTGCCATAGATACTTGTTCTCCCCAAGTCTTTCCCGTCTAACTGCCTGTCACTTCATGTTATCACCCTTGACTATTGATTACTCACAACTTGTCAATTTCTTTTTGTTTTACAACTTGTCAATTTCTATGAATTATCTATCCTCCAATCTCTTCCTGCAAAAGTAGTGCATATATACGTGTGTGTGTGATCGATTGATCTATCTATCTATGAGAACATAATCCCAAAATCTAATTTTGAAAGTCTGTTTCTAAATCAACTCTTGGTATTAATTATTATATCTCTCAGGGTGCCAAATGGAAATAATTGACATGTTCAATAAGATAATTTGAGGATGATTTATTTACAGAACATTTAGACAGGTAAAATCACAGGGAAGCAACAAAGTATAGTGCTATAATCTAAAGTAGTAGCAGTCAGGCCTCTTTTTATCAACCCCATGAGCATAGTTAGGATCTATTAACAGAGAGAGGAGAAAGTCATGTGGAAAAGGCAGCACTGACAAGAGCAGTAACATCGTTCACAGTTCACAGCTAGCCTGAGGTGGCACTGCTGTAGAGCACTGGAAGAGTAAGTAACCTGACTTTACTCCTTCCTTTCTCATCTTCTGCCAAAGCATTATAATGATGGTGCCCTCTGGAAGCCAGAGGGCGTGGGGGCCCTTTTGATGTAGTTCACACACATTAACTTTCTGGGCCAGAAACCAAGTGTAGAAAGTAGATACAGGATCTTGGTTTACATGAAATATATCCAGTATACTTTTCATTCTGTTTCCTTAGAGCTTAAAATAGTTTAATGAGCTTAGAGCATCCTCAATTTGTCTGATAAGAAAATAGAGAATAATTGACTGCAGATATGAATGAATGGTAATGAGGATGTGGTAATGTCTCACTCTTCAATCGCTGTTCTCAATCTTCTCACTCTAGTGTTTTCACATGCTCTGAAATAATTGCTGAAAAAATATGCAATCCTGATTTTATCTTTTCATCCTGTTCTTTCCTCTACACCTGCTTTTCCTTAAATTAGAAAGATAAATCAGAAAAACAGAATTCACAGGGAAATTGATAAAATCCATCAAGCTGTCTAGAAAATATACATGTACAATGAAGATATCAAGGACAGATGTTTGTGGGTCACTGAGCCCACACCTCTACAGTTGGTTTCAAATAACATTCATCTGTTCTAGAGGAGATTCTTCATTCTCATATCGCCCACTGGTGGTCGCCAGATGGAGAAAGGCTTGCCTTCCTGATGATAAATGACTCCTTGGTGCCTAACATGGTTATCCCTCGGTTTACTGGAGCATTGTATCCCAAAGCAAAGCAGTATCCATATCCTAAGGTAAGCAACGTGGAGGTGATCGTTCATTCCTTCTCTCTGCATGAGTGACTTGATGGATGGCATGCTTGGTTCATGAACAGGTTGCTTTTGAAAGAGAAAAGACATCTCCTTTACTTGTAAGACAGATTCATCATTTGGAGTTGGCACTAAGTAATCCCGACACGGCTGGGTAGAAAGAGGTAGAAATGATTTGAGGGCATGCGAACTTTCTCTTTCATTATATGTCTTTCTAATGCTCATTCTTGTTTTTGTTTTCATTTTTCTCACCTTGCCAGTTAAAAAGAGAGTGATAGGTGAGTGGTAAGAGGCAGAACTGATGCTAGGTGTCTTCAAATTACATCATACAAGTTGTGAATGTTACAAGGGAGGAGGGAAAAATGTAGTGGTCAAAAGAGTCGGAAGTTTCAAATTCAAAAAATATAAATTTAGCTTCTTTCAGATGACTTCTTAGAGCACTTAATATACTATATGTTAATGTGTATTATAAATCTTCTACAAAATGGACTAAGTGTAAAGAATCTCAATAAAGAATAGACAAAGCATAAAAATTACCAATAAAGAATAGACTAAGCCTAAAAAATTTATTAGTATTAGTACTAATATGAGCATTATTTTGGCAGAGCATATTGTGGAACACAGTTTATGAAATGCTGGTAGATAGCATAGATGAAAGGTTTTATTAGGTGAGGAAAATATGGAAATCTTGCCAAGACAACGTGACTATTTGCAAGTGTTGTATTAAATAAGGCCTCAAGGAACAGAAGGCAAGAACATTGGGAATGCAGAGTTGTTGTTTTTTTTTTTAATTGTAGGCCACCCTTACTTCCTCAAGATCTTTTTCTAAAACTCCATGTCCGCATACATTTATATAACAAAGAAAAGGCCCATTGTAAGAGGCTGTCTGTATCAATCATGAAAAGATATCTTAAAGCAAACTTCTAAAATTCCACTTTACCCATTTTGTCTCCTAATTAGGTAAAAGAGGATGTAGGCTTCACTAGAAGCTGTTTTTAAGACACGCTTTTAGAGAAGTTGTACTTGATTTTTCTCAAGCACAATATATTAGCTGAGCACAGTGCCAGGCAAATTCCCAACATGAAATGTCTCTTTGGCCTGCAGTGAAGTCATGGTCAGGTAAAAGCCAGGCCAGTCACATATCTGTTCTTCTTTTTACTGTGTATCACAATCACATTATCCACGACAGAAAGTAAGAAAGGTTTGAGGATGAAGAGTTAGGAATGAGAAGTGATTTCCTCCTCAAGTTTGTTCGCTGTCTTCTTGACTTCCATCTTCCTTTTGTAGGTTGACTCAGTGCTACTAAATGCGGGATTAAGAGAAACCAGTTTCCATAATTTGGAAGCACTATAATTAGGGTTTTTTCTGAACATAGATTCTAAAGCACATATGCTGAGTCATCTTCCGAATAAGGTGGCAATCAGAACTCACAAAATATTTTTATTACATTTCAAGAAAAGGCCTCATGACTTCTTCAGTTATACATTCAACTATTATTATGTGGATGATAGTTTTTATACTAGTAGAATGTACCAGCACCTCCTTTATTTCCAGATAAAAAGTATAAAGACTTGCCAAATATATTCTCTCACATCATTTGATTTACTTATTGGTGATGAAAGCTCACTTGTTAATTTAAGTAAAAAATAGAAAACTCATCCTGTTTGGTGCCCTGGACAAAACCAGCCCCATGGAAGGGGAACCCTTTCCTAAAAGGAGCAAGAACTTTGTGAGTCACACGAAAAGTTGTATGCGGTGGCTACATCTTCAGCTGTGTTCTGCACTCCACACACTCTCGGCATCAAAATTTTAGAGGGACTGGCACCAATAACTGAACAAACATAAACATCTGATGAAGTTGAACTATTTCAGCAATAATTCAGAGGATTCTGAATGCAAAACTGGGCACTGTATTATTTAACAATTTATTTAATTAGATATTTAATAGAATATTACCATGTTTATCTGTGAATTGTATAAATCGCAAGGGCTCAGCATAGACTCTGTGGGAGTCTTTCCACTTTTTTTAAAAAATTTTATCTTCATCATGTTTGCCTATATTTTACAAATGGGCTGACAAACATTTTAAAAGGTTAAGTGCTTTTATAAAAGTCAGGTCTATTTTGAAAACCCTAAAATAGTTCAAATTTATTGATTCCATCCCTCTCAATAAAACTAGCAGAGACTGTTTCATATTTCAGAAGATAGTGCTGAAATCGAAACACTTCCTTGTCAAGTTAAAAATATTGTGTCTGTGTTTGTTGCATTAGCTCTTAAAGACTTAGCTATATATGTATAGCAGGCTTAGTCTCACATCTGTAATGTGTAAATTTAACATGATGAAGGTCCTGATTGTGCAAGGGTTTTAAAAATAAAAAAGAAACATATTCTAACCAACAAAATGGTAAGCACCCAGTCCTTAGATAGTTATTACATGGAACACCTGCCCTGATGTAAATGATAACGGAATACAACGGAAATAGCACTTACTTTTGATCCTTGCTCTCACAAAATAAATTTCAGTATCACTTTGTGGATGTTGCTTTAATTTTTAAGATTTATCACTTTCTTTTCTAGTTTTTAATTGTTAGCTTTTCTATAACAAATGCATTGTTTCAATTTGCTCATCTGCAATAAACTTTTAAAAAGTAGAACTTTGGAAATTGGGATAGCACATAGAGTTCATACTAAAATGTACTTTAAATTAAAGTAGATTAAAATTAGTGTAGGAAATACCCAATATAGTTAGATTTACTAATGAAATACTTACACTAAACAAATATATTTGTATTTTACTTAATTCAGCATGATTTAAAACTCCTAAAATACTCTGTCATTAGCAATTCAGCACAAAAGAAATGCACAGTTCTATCTCAGTAACCTCAGGTTAATCTTCTTAATTAAAACATTATCTTCTTTAATGACAATTTAGATGCCAGTTAAATAAGGTTAATTATTATTGAGGCTTGTGTTTCAGAATCACAGAGGAGGAATTCTGTGGATTTGCAGTAGCTGTGGCAAATGTGACTGCTAAAAGCAAATAGATGAGCTCCTCTAATTTTCAAACTCTTAAAATGACTCATATTGAGGGGTGAAAATGAACTTGTTATGTGTGCTTAATTTCAAAACTCTGCAGAAAAGTAAAAATGTAATTGGAATTATGAAATGCTGAATAGCTTAATTTGGAGATAGTCTGGTGTTTTCATGGATGTGTCTAGTTTTTGTCTAAAATATACAACATTCAATTTGTGTTCATGCAGAAGATAATTGGGATATCAGGATCCTGCTCGGATATAACCTTACAGTGCTACTGCCAAAGAACACTGCCTTCAAGATAAAAAAGTTAATATGTCTTTGGCAAAGTATAAACTGAATCATTAATAAGCTCACAGAAAAATAAAATTTAATTTCCTTATTAGTTCAGTTTACAGTACCAAATAATAAATATATATTTTTAATTGATTTATTGGTACATTTTAGGTATACAGTACAGTTACATTCATTATTGGAATCTTGTACCTTTACGTGACAGGTCTTGATTCTCATTTTTCCCCTTGTCCCTGCCTTCCCTTCACCCCCTCCCAAATAATAAATATATAAGCACATATTTTCAATAAGGTGAATCAATGTCGTAACATTCACTATCCTTTTCATAATCATATATTCTTTTAGATACTATAGAATAATATTTTTACTATGTAATATAAGTATAATACATTTTTTTCCAGAAAGGAATCTTTTGATTCAAAACATGGGACTGTGACAGTGACAGAGAAGTGTTTGCCTCATTTGGGGGGGTACTGGAGAGCCAACTCAGGATGCTGAGCTTGTAAGGCAGGTGGAAAAACCACTGAGCTAAATCCCCAGCCCTTTGACTCATTTTTTTGCCTCATTTTTGATAAGCATATAAATAGTTAAGAATCTTGCCCATGGTCCATAGCAAGCAAATAACACGGTCAGTATTTGGACTCAGGTGTCTCTGAGAGTCTAAGCTCAACTACCTCTCAAAAGATGGTCTTTCTACCAGCATAGAGGGTTTCAGCCTTGTGCTGAAGGTGGCTTCAGTGCTTTGTGGTTTAAGGAGCCCTGGATTCTGGATAAGTCTGATGGAGGCTATCTTCTGACTTTGCGTGTACAGTACTAGAATACAGAGATGGATATCCATCCATTTGCATAGTAATTATCTGGAAATCTTGTTAAAGCACAGATCCATAGGCCCACATCCAGAACCACACATTGATTCTTGTTTTGAATGAAAAATGGTAGGGCTACTAGAACTAGAGAAAACAATCCAAAAATTAATTTGCAATCAGAAGAGAACTAAATTAGCAAAAGAAATTCTAGGCAATAGAGACATGGCAGGGGTATCACAATCCCCAATATGAAACTATACAACAAAGCCACTGTGATAAAAACAGCATGGTACTGGCAAAGAAACAGACCCGAGGATCAGTGGAATAGATTAGAAGATGCAGAAACATCTTCTAACATACTCAACTACCTCACTTTTGACAAGGGAGCCAAACACCCTCTCTGGAGGATAGATAGCCTCTTTAATAAATGGTGTTGAAAAAAACTGGTTTTCAACTTGTCAAAGATTAAAATTAGACCTGTATCTTTCACCATGCACTAAACTAAAACCCAAGTGGATTAAAGATCTAAATATTAGAACAGAAACACTAAACTTGCTGGAAGATAAGTTAGGTAGAACTCTTGAAGATTTTGGCGTAGCAAAAAGATTTTTATGAATAAATCCTCAGTAACCTAGGAGCTAGCACAAAGAATCAACAATTGGGATCTCATCTTTCTAAAAAGCTTCTGCACTGCCAGAGAAATTACAAGCAGAGCTAAGAGACAACCCACAATGTGGGAAAGAATTTTACCAGTTGTTCTTCAGACAAAGGTCCACTATCTAGAATAAAGAACTAAAAAAAAAAAAAAAAAAAAAAAAAAAAAAACCCCCAAAAAAAGATCCAATTCAAAAATGGGTATCTGAAATGAACAGACATTTCTCAGACGAAGTAAAAGCAGCAAATAATCATATGAAAAAAATGTTCATCACTGTTCATTGGAGAACTGCAGATGAAAACAATGCTGAGATTCCACCTCACCCCAGTAAGAATGGCTGCTATCAAGAAATCAACCAATAACAAATGCTGGCAGGGGTGTGGGGAGATAGGAACTTTCATATTTGATGGGAGTGCAGACTGGTGTAACCACTATGGATATCAATATGGAGATCCCTCAAACCGTTAGAATTATAAGTCCCATTTGACCCAGCTATTCCTCTGCTGGGTGTCTTCCGAAAAGAATTAAAGGAATCATACCACAACAATATATGTTCACCCATGTTTATAGCAGCACAGCTTGTAATAGCTAAAATTTGGAAACAGCCCAGTTGCCCGTCAACTGGAGACAGACTGGATAAAGAAGATGTGGATTTTTTTTCCTATAAAATGTAATACTACTCAGCCATAAAGAATGGGAAACTAGAGAGATTTATAGTTAAGGGGATGCACAATGAGGCCATTCTCTTAAGTGAAATTAATAAGTCACATATGTAAATACCAAATAGTTACTCCGGTGTGAAAAAGTAAAAGAATAAAAAAGGATTAAAATGTATGATTGATGTTGCGTAATAGAAAAAAATTCTAAAAGAGTGGAGGAAGTGGGAGGGGTGGGGGAAAGGTAAAAAGGGAAAAGAAAAAATATGTGAAAAGGAAAAACATGGAAACAATGTCCTTGTAAACAGGGAAGTGTGGAGGGGCTGAGGGGAGGGCTGGGGAATGGGGAAAAATCAGAACCTTATAAGTCATGTGTAGGTACAAGATCCCAATGATGAATGTAACCATATTGTATACCTGATATTTACCAATAAACTTAACAAAGATAAAAAAGTAGGTAGGGATAATGAATTTGTGTTTTTAAGGTTTCTAGTGATCGGTTGCTGCCCCTTGTCCAAGAGCACTTTGAAGGTAGCATTAAGTGCAGTGTGCAGCTCTAAAGGTTGACATTTGACCTAACTAGAGACGTGGTAAGACTAAACATTAAATGGGTAAAGCTAATATTTTAAAGGAGGAACACGACAAGTAAATTTAAACGAGAATGAAGTGACAGGCAAAGTAAGAAAAGCAATTGGATGCCAAACTTCCCAAGACAAATGTGCCCAGGCCCTGGGGAGTTTAGGCCAGTGACAAACTGTACAGAATCAGATAATACACTGTGAGGCAAGCTTGCATTTTCTTCCAGGAAGCCTTTTTCTGTATGAATCATTCCTGTCATCTCTCTTAATATTAACAGTATTCCTGTAGTGAAAATAATTCCTGAATACTTTCTTTGGCTCAAACTTTAGACAGGTGTGTAACACTCTCAGACATTCTAGTCTGTTTGGAATCCTCTGGGTTTTTTTTGTTTTTGTTTTGTTTTGTTTTGTTTTACAAAACAGTGCTTAAGTAGCACTTACTGTGGATGAAGCTTATAATGTTACTTCTAGTCCTGACCTGACTTTGTTATTGACAGTTCTTTAAACATGAATCTGTGTGACATCTTTCAATCAATTTAGTTATTCTATTTAGATTTTTAACTCTCTTTTAATTTCCTTTTTTTCTTCTGTGTACTACTACTCATAGTCTTTGCATAATGCCTAGCTTTACTACAAGAGTTGTTTTGTTTAAAAACACATTGAGCCACAAGTCACCAACTGATTTGATACCTCACTTATTCAGAGGAACATTTCTTTTTTTGTTAATTCTTTCAAACTGCTTGAGACATGTTGAAGAAATTTCCCATTTCTACTCTTTTATTGCTTAGAGTTTTTAGGAAAATCTTGGAAGCTGTTGTCTTCAAGTAAATGAACTGAAAGCACGGTTAAAAGCTTTCTGGATTAAAATGCTGGCTTCCTGGATTATTAGAATTTCAACCTGCATAGTTTGTTTAGCGTCCTCATTTTCATCTTGAAAAGTGTTTTTATCTTACAGAAGGGATATTTAGTGAAAAAAATGCATGTAATTTTCACACATACTATGTGCTAGAAACATACCAAATGGTATATTTACTAGTTACTTTTTATTTAATAAAATTCCATTCACTAAAATAGAATGACATAACATTGATCTGTCTGTCCACCTTTCATACCAGATATCAGGGAGGGCAGTTTATTCACTGGTATGAGATCAATTAAACAAGTCGCCCCATTTTAGGAATCCGTAAAATTGAAAAGAGCAGGTAGATTTGGGATAGCTGATACATTAATTAGGTTTTGTGCAGTTGTGACCATTTGACACATTTTGCACATGGGTGGGATTTCTTTAGTCCTCCAAGTGGATGAGACGTCCTTCTCCTCCCCTCTCTTGCTCTCCTTCCCTCCTTCCCGTTCTTCCTTTCTTTTGGAAGTAGTTGTACTTGCCATCCCAGTTCATAAGCTAGGAGTCGTTGCGTGACCTACCAGTTGTGTTGCACAGCCAGCCCTCTTAGTGCCCTGCTCAGGAAAGAACACAGTAGCACTCCATAATGAATAAAGCCATTGTGATTTTCTATCACCTTTAATTGTCTGACTAAACTGCTTGTGAATCACCAATCTGCAGAAACAATTGAAAGCAATCAAGTTGTTGAATTTAAAATAATTTCGACTGCAGAGAAATTAAACTTTTCCCCTTATAACACAAAAAAAGAGTCAAAATACGTTCCCCCCCCTCAATGTAGTCTAATGTTTAATATACTTGCTTTATAACTTTCATTTTCTCAAAGGCAGGTCAAGTGAACCCAACAGTAAAATTGTATGTTGTAAACCTATATGGACCAACTCATACTTTGGAACTCATGCCACCTGACAGCTTTAAATCAAGGTATGCAATTTCAGTTTCACTCTTACATGGAAATAGAGATCTTCAATCCAATTATCATTTTGTTACCATTTAGTGAGAGTTATGATCAGCTCATCATTTCTACTTGAAAATAAAACCGTGGTTGCCTCCATTAGTGAGGAATGAAGTCATTCTAGGTGTCTGGCTGTTCCTAAGACACATTTAATTTCAAGGTGACTAGAAGGAGTACAAAATGATTAAAGATAGTGTTACTGAGATTGGGCCTATTGCTGGAGATGTGTGACAGAGGAGGACAAAGGAAATTTTCCATTGGATTTTCTTCTAGAATATAGTTGCTCCAGTTTTTTTTTTTTTTTAATGATATTTAAAGGAGTATAACGTCCCTGAAATTTGTGTAGTTTTCCAACTTTCTACTCCAAATTTGCCAAGGATTCTCTAGCATTCTTCTCTGGGCAGACAAATTTAATGTGATTTTGTTTCAAATTACCCTACATCAGAAGTCTTTATATTTAAGAAGTTTGAGCAGAGAAAAAGAAATATATTTCATGTGTCGAAAACATACATTTAATATTAACAAAATCTTCAGTGGTGCAAATAAACAAATAATCATATGTATTTTGAAATCCCAAATGTTCTCAAACTTTAAAGGGGATTTTTTCCAATATTTCAGTCCTTTTGCAATTTGCCTCATAGGGTGGGCAGCTGAGTTAGGAAAATAGTTTCACACTACTGCAACATACAAGTATGCCAAGCTCAGAGTTCATTTTAATGATGTGTGTAATTAGTTTCTATTAGAAATTAACTCAAATGTTGAGCTATTTAGGAAAAATTTCATCCCCGTTGGAGATTTTTACAGATCTAGACCAGTCAGATGCCCATGGGTAGTTTTCCTACTTGGAATGGTAATAAAGCTTGGAGTTTTTACACTAAAACCCCCCTCCCTGGTGTTACCAGAAGGTAGGTACCATGGGAATTATTTCCAGGTTCATGGTATCCTGAACAAAGAATTGGAAAGGACCCACGGAGAAAGCAATGAGAACATACATTCAATGAAGGTGCAAAAGAGATAACACTTTACAGGGTGAGAGCAGGCTGGAGAAGGGCCTCACAGAGGCCCCAGTGATAAGAGAAAGGGGTTTTTTGAATCACAAATCCCTAGATTGGCTTCTCTCTTGCAAATAAGGCATTTGGACAATGATCCTATCAGAAACTCACTTGGCCTGGCGCCAGGTTTAAACTGCCCTATGGTAAGATTTGCTTCGCTTCCAGCCAGCGGTAAATGAAGAATTGAAAAGATGACTTTTGTGACAGTCTTGTAAACAGGGAGAGATCCAGATGAAGAAGTGAAAACACCGCTTTGTGTTTGATTCCTGTATAGTGCTGGAGAGCCACAGAGTCATCTGTGGTCTTGTGTTGCACATGTTGATTTTATGAACTTCCACACATTCTGCCTAGTTGGTTGTACACTTTGAGTCGCATTGTCCTCCAGCATTTCACTGTGTCCCCTTGGTCAAGTCACGGCACCTCTCAGTGTCAGAATCCCCTAGTCTTGACTTAAAAATTTCTAGGCTTCAGCCTTTTTAATTTTTTAAATCTTTGCAATGTGGATCACTTTTATAATATGAATGTTTCTTTCTAATAGGAACTAATGACTACTAACTTTGATTTTGTTACCTATTTACAAATAGAATCATATATGTATTAATTTACTAGTATGCACTTTCTCACCATCCTATCAAATCCATTGAATGTCACTTCTGTTTTTTTAATTTGTATGTGTTGACAACATAGCTACTTGTATTAATTGAGACACTGCCTTAACATTTACTAATAGAATAGCTAAATAATGAATTTGATAACAATTTTCATGTATTTCATGTTTTCTAAACAGCTACTATATTTTTATAATCTTCAAATTATCTGTATAATAACCAAGTGAACTATATTCCATTACGCAATGCAATTATAAACAATCATTTTAATTCATTTTTCCTAGCACACTTGAAACTTAAATATGATTACCTCTTACCATCTTCTCTCTAGCAAAATTACTATAGTAACAAAAAACAATTGTTATGTCATTATAGGGAGAAAGAAAAATATAAATATAGAAGTTGTTCTTTTATGACTTGAGCTGTTGTATAAACTATCCCAAAGGAGAAAATTTGTTTTTACTTGATGATTTTAGGATACTGTTTTAATATTGATTGATTGTTTTGAGATTTGGCTGAAGAATAATAACTAGTGTATATAATGATAGCAGGAAAAGAGCTACATCTGGCATCATTTGGTGGACATCCCCTTCAATCAGATACTGAAACTGATCAAAGCCTGTAAAGGAAATAGATGTTAACTCATTGTTATGGTTTTGGAAAAGAAACTACAAGGGTAGCATAAGCTGGAGAAAGTCATAATTTGTGTTCCTACTTTCTACGTTCATGTGCTCCCTTTATTTTATATTAATATTTATTTATATGTGCATAATTTAGCTAAAGAGCATTCATCAAACAAAATTAGACTATGAATGCAGCCTTTATTCAGTAGTAATTCGGTTCATATTCATCTCATCGCCATTCAGTTCATTTCTGAATCATGGTCTGTGTTGATTCTGAAGAGTATAAGTATGGCGACACCTAAGACAATGGCTTTTGTGAATATACTCAGACTCAGAAATAGTGGGAGTTAATGTATCAGTCATCTCATCTTGAGAGGAAGAAAAATTTTGCAAATTACTGCACTGTTAAGGTTTGAGAGTACTCAGTGCCTTTATTAGAAAATTCAGGTATGAATTTAAAATACAAGTTAATTTCTTTTTTTTCTTTTTATTGAGTTTATTGCTACATTTTAGGTATACAGTACAGTTACACTTATTATTGGGATCTTGTACCTTTACATGACATAGTTAATTTCTATCAAAAGATTTTATTATGACAATAAGTCATGCAAAATTTTGCCACAGGTTACAGTAGTGCCACATTCTTTTGGGGAAAATGATGTATTCTCTTCTGTGTTCTGATCATTTTAGTCTGAAGAGTAAAAGTAAAGATTTGTCATTGTTTTAGTCTTACTGTGTTACTAGAATCATTTTACGTATTCTTGAGTCACTCACCTTTTGTGACTCATTGTTCTCCACCTGTATCATCAAAGTGACACTGTCCTATTGCTCCTGATATTTTGAGCTTTACAATGCCATTTTGTCCTCCTATTTCCTTGAACTGGATCTAGCCCAGATATTTTATTCCTCCGAGGAATATATGTGCCTTTCATGAAAATCAAATTAATAGAATCATCATTGCTCACGGAATTATCCTACGTGATCCTTCTTGAAATAATGCATAGTTATTAACAGGTCCTTGGAGGATGCTAGGTATGGGTAAGTCATGATTGTCATTACAGTATACTTATTGGCTATGCTCTTGTGCTATTTTAGAGAATGACCTCAGAGTAACTATATGTGTACAAAGATTGTATTGCATACACAGAGCAGTGATTAGACAGAGAGCCAATGAAAACACAGGTGTGACCACCAAAATGCCTGCAGATGTCTGCAGGGGAGGTAGAGACCTCAATTTCAAGTACTCTTGTGAATAATTAGTCTCCCTGTATGAGACCTCCCAGCAGACAGTAAGCCTGTAGACTTGAGAATAATCTCTTTGCATTGCTTTTCTCTTTCTCTGTGGTTCAAGAAGACCAGACTTAACAAAAAAAAAAAAAAAGAAGACCAGACCTTGAGGACTTCTTGTTAAACCAGAGCCACTGACGAAAGGAACAAGCAGTAAAGCCAACTATAAGAAAGGAACACTTCTGCTGGCCACTGGCTGTGGAAAACCAGATCTAATGTGTTTGTGACATGGAGTTTCAGGAAGATAGCCACATCCACAGCATATAGGCCAAAGAGTGTACATTTCCAAGTGAGGGTACCATTAGGTCTGTAGGAAGGAATAAGCGAACACAGAGAACAATTTTGTTAGATATATATATATCTTTCTACTACCTATGTGGTAAGGTCTACTTTGGTTTCTGTTTTGGTCATTTTCAACAGTCCACATACACACAAGTAGAGAAGGCAGGGATAAAGGGAAAACATGAGAAACAAGACCTGTCATGTAAAGGTACAAGATCCCAGTGATAAATGTAACTGTACTGTATACCTAAAATGTACCAATAAACTCAGTGAGGAAAAAAATGAAATTCTTCGGATGTATAGAGTACTTATAAGGTTTCAGTTATTCTTGTATCTAAAATAACAAGTCTGTTATTGGTACTTTGCAGATTTTCTGGTCCTGAACATAAATTTGAATCTTTTTTTTCCCAACTAGAGAATATTACATCACGATGGTTAAGTGGATTAGCAACACCAAGACAGTGGTGAGGTGGTTAAACCGGCCACAGAACATCTCCATTCTCACTGTCTGTGAGACCACTACAGGTGCCTGCAGCAGAGTGAGTAAAATTTACCTTTCTTCTGTACTGAAAATGAAATCGTTTATTAATTCTTACAAAGGGAAACCAGGAAATCTTTTGTATAAAGAATTTTATATTTAACTTCCAAGGTGGTATGAAAAGATTCATCATGTTAGAAGTGCACACTTTAATACACGAAGTTTCCAAACTTGGAAGTGGCCCAGGAATAAATAAAGGAATTCTTATGAAACACAAATGGCAAATTAAGCCATTGTAGGATTTATCTTCAATAGGAGATTTCTCTTGATTAACCTGCAATTAAAGGAAGAACCTTTCCTGATCCTTTAAATACACTTTTTTTCTGGTAATTCAGATTACTCTGATAAGTGTTTCTGTCCTATGGCAAAGCAAAAATAAGCCAAAAACAGTCCCTAAACTATTTTGAAAGTAGGTTGTATTTCACTTTCTAAATTTCGTTCTTATAAACTCTGTAGCAAGTTTAATATATATCATTTTTAAGATACTTGGTAGAGGAAATGGGGCGATCACTTTAAACTATGGTATGATGTTCTTGGTAATAGGGTAAAGGATTCTGAGATTTTTTATCAACTGAATTTCCAAATTTTTGTTGTGAAAAAGATGGAAAAATATTACCAGAGTAGCTGTTCTGTGTTGAACAACTATAAAACTAAAAATAAAATTGGCAAAACAAATGTTTTCAGATATTAGACAGTAAGAAGAACAGGAAATGTTAGGCAGGTGCTTTACCATTGAGCTACAGCCCCAGCCCTTAACTGGCAATTCAGGGCAAGGAGATGGAACCAAGCACAGCACAGAGCTGTCACTTATCTCAGGCAGTGAGAATCAGAAACAAATCTTGAGACTCTTCTGGTGAAGATCTGTAAAAAACTGAATAAAGCTTCAATTACATGTATAATAATATGAATTGAAATATAGGTAAAATTATGTACATGGGAGAACAGGAAGAAAATAAGAAACAATTATTTTAATTTCCCCAGGTTAGATGAAGAATGATTTATGTATCCAGAGAGTTCACAAATCCAAAACAGGATAGAGACCAAGAAAAAATATCTAGACATCCATTTTACATTCACGTTGTTACAAATCAAACATTGAGAGAGCGTTATGAGATGTGAAGGTTGGGGACGCTGCTCAGTGGTGGAGTGCTTCCTTAGGATGTGTGTGGTCCTGGATCCCATATCCTAAGAAAAGGGAATGAAATTGAAACGATGCAAAAAACTAGAATGGATATATAAAGAAAAAAACTATTTGAATTATTTTATACCAAAGTGTTTTTTTTTTTTAAGTGGAGTTATGGATTAGCCTAGGGTTTCCATTATGCTAGGCAAGTCCTTTTCCAGAGAGCTGGACCTCCCAATTCCCAATTAAAGAGACTTAATTCATACTTAGAAATCTTTCTGCTGAGATCAGGTGTTTTATCAAATACATTCCTCTTTTTTTTTTAATTAAGTTTACTGGTATATTTTAGGTATAAAAAATAGTTACATTCATCGTTGGGAACTTGTACCTTTACAGGATGGATCTTGGTTCTTATTTTTTCCCCATTCCCCTGCCCTCCCTTCAACCCCTCCAGCCCTCCCTATTTCCAGAGACCTTGTTTCCATTTTTTCCTTTTCTCATATTATTTCCTCTCCCTTCTTTCTTTTTTCCTATCCTTCCCACTTCCTTTCTTGATATGTTTTGTGTTGCTGAAACAAAATAACATGGATTACATAATTTATAATGAATAGCGATGTATAGGATCACTTTTGCAGGCTAAGAGGTACAAGATTGAGGGGCTGGCATCTAGTGAGAGCCTACTTGTTTTATTATTCTTTAGCAAAAGGACAAAGGAAGATGCAAGGGAGATAAAAAACAGTTAAACCCATTTTTTTAGGGTAACCTCCACTCAAAATAAAGATACTAATCTGTTCATATACCTTAAGTTCCCACCTTTTAATGCTATTAGATTGGTAAGTTAAATTTTGTGATGATTTTATGAGGTAACATAAATTCCAACAATAGCATTACTGCAAAGACTAAAGGATCTCATTCTTACAAGTTCTAGATAGTAGAAAAGAAAGAATACTTTTTAGTTTAATTTATGATAACATAAATATCAAAGCATGAAAAGGACATCAAAAGCGAGAATGTTTTAGGCTGTTATTTCTCATGTACAAACATACAAAAAAATCATTTACCATATTAATACCCAATTCCAGCAATGTAAATAGGAAGGGGTAGGACATGAATAAAAGGATAGTACCCCCCTATAATTTATAGTTGGTTTAGTTTTGAAAACCAAATAATATCAAGCATTATGTGATAAGAATAAAAATAAATATTTCAGTAGATGAAGGACAAACAGCTAAAATTTAATACCCATTCATGATATGTTTCAGTATAAATAAGTGGAAAAACATTCTTTTCTTTTTTTTCCTCATTGAGTTTTTGGTACATTTTAGGTATACAATAGAGTTACATTCATCATTGGGATCTTGTACCTTTACATGACAGGTCTTGGTTCTCATTTTTTCCCCTTACCCCTGCCCTCCCTTTATCCCCTCCTCCCTTCCCTATTTGGAAAACCATTCTTCTGTTAAAAGGATATCCAGGAAACATTTTCATACTCAATAGTGAAACATTTATCTTATTCCCATTAAGATCAACAGTAAGTTAAGGAATCGATTCTTCTTACTGCTGTGCAACCTAAAGGCCCCAGTCAGAGTAAGTTAGCAAGGAACAAATGTCATAATGTTTGGAAAGAAAATGGAACTGTCTTTATTTATAGGGGACAGGTACTTTTCATATAAAGAAAGGGTAATAAATTTACAAATAACCTATAATAAAAGAGCACCATCTGCAAGACCAATGTACCAACTTCAGTTTTGTGTTCAATTTCTCAATTGTGATTTTTTTGTGTGTGTGTGTGTGATTATTTTGTGAATTGTAATTTAAATGGGAATACTTGGTAAAGTGATTAGGAGTTAAGCACACAGTGACTCTGAGTTGCTTTCAAGATGTCTTTTAAGTAGCATAGATCTAATTTCCTATTTATTGGTTTTGAAAGCATATGATGCTTTCATCTCAAATGATTTAGAAACAGGAGAAAGTGACAACACAAATGGGAAAAGCATAAGCAAGTGGAGAATCTGTCTACAGACTATACAACATTTTCTTGAACTGTCTTAACAGTTCTCTGTAAGTTTATACCTGTTTCCAAGTAAAAAATTCACAAAAGCAAAATATATTTCTGTATAATAACAATAACACTGTGGTAAGAAAGCTAAAATACTTTTAAAATATTGAAAGAATTAAATATTTAAGCCTAAATTTAACAAATACTGTGTAAAATCGCAACATTGAATACTACAGAATTGCTAAATGGCATTGAAAAAGACCTAAATAAACGAAATAAAAGCCCTAACTAAATGAAAGGCCTATAAATTCAGCATTCTTGAAATGAAAAGCTAGGTACTGCAATATCATTTCTATCCAAATTGAATTGTAATCTTCAAATAACCCTAATTGTTAGAAATGAGCCCCCAGGCACAAGTTGTTGGTGCCAGAAAGAGTACACTGCAGTGGCAATCAAGACGAGGCAAAGTTTAAAGTTGACTTCTCCAGAAAGGTGCAAGTGCACTCAGACAGGAGGCAGCCAGCAGGTGCGGTGGTGGGGAAGAGGGATTTTAGGCCTAATGCATAGGAAGCAGCTATCCTTTAAATCCATTGGTTGCTTTTATTTTTTAATTAATTGTAATGAACGTAATTGTACTGTATACCTTAAATGTACCAATAAACTCAATTAATAAAACAAATAAATAAAAGTAAACCCATTGGTTGAATTCAAAGGCTTACAAGCTATCACTGTTAGCTAGTTTAAGGCAAGGAGGGGAGGATCTGAAGGGTTGCTGAAGGGGAAGAGGAATGGAAGGGGAGAGGGTGTGGAAAACAGAAAGTCTTTGGCTACTGATAAGCTATCTTTGCTCTGCAGCTGTGTTTCCAAGTTTCCAATAATTGCAGTGTGAGGGGTGGGGCCACCTAGGGTGGACAAGTCTAACATGGAGGCATTTCTGTTTTATTGTATTTTGGTAGAAAAATACAGGGCCACAGTTTCTCACTTAATTAAAGTACTCTTCGACTCTATATAAACATAAGCATGTATTAAAATTTATATGGTAGTGCACAGGACCCAAACTAGTCAAAACTACTTCATAAGGAAACAAATATGGAAAATGTTGCGCTGCCTAATTCAAAAAATACAGTGACTAGAAAGCTACAGAAACCTAGAGATGGTAAGGAAAGTACAGTAATATGCAGAGTGAACTGAATTGAGTACTATATAGGAATATAGGCCCACATTTATACAATCAATTCATTTCAACAGAGATGTCAGAAACTATTGAATGGAGAAAAGTCCTAGAACAATTGATATCCAAGAAGGAAAAAGAATTATTTTTGATATCTTTTTCATATCATTTTGTAAAGCCAGTTTGAGAAAAATCATAACCCTAAATCTAAAGCATAGGACTGTTTGCCTTGTAGAGGAAAGTACAGAATGTAACTTCACTATACAAATTAGACGAAAACATCATTGATCATTAAAAAACACATGTGATATTATAAACATTAGAAATATAAAGGAAAAAGATAAATCACAGACTGGGGAAAAGTATTTTGGAAAAAGTGTGCATCTGAAAAAGAAATGTGGAAATAAATCCTATATATCCATGTTAATGACAACCCGGCAAAAGCATCAAAACGTTTGAACAGATAATTATAAGAAAGATAATAAACAGATAACAAAGTGTTCAACCCCATTAGACAGTAGAAAATGTAAATTAAACACACAATGAGGTGTAGAAGTGTAGCTCAGTGACAGAGGATTTACCTAGCATTCCAGAGGGTATGAGTACAATCCCCAACCCTACCAAAAAAGAAAAAATATAATGAGATAACGTGACATACCACTTGAGAGACTAAATTAAAACATACCAAGATCTTCACAATGTTATCTATGGATAAGGATGTGGAAAGCTAAATTTTTAAATTTTTGCAGATATAAAAGTAAAATGATACAATTACTTTAAAACATTTTTTCAGTTTCAAATATTTGCAAGCATACTATGTATAACATAATAATATAGTATGGGTAATTTATTAAGTATATATGTCAACATTATATAAATACATGTATATATAATGTACATCATAATTCTGCTTCTAGGTATTTGTAAAGACATAAACATGTCTGCCCAAAAATTTGTAAAACAAGTCTATTTAGAAAAGTTTTGTTCACAGTAGCTAAGAAAGTGGCAACTATTCAATTATTGTTAATATGGAATATATTGAAAAGATGAGGCATATCTATAAAATAAAATTCAACTCAGCAATTTTAAAAGGAATAGAAATAGAATGTTGCTATTTTTCATGATAGTTAAAGTCAAATATGTGATATGAAGGAAACCTCAAGTTCTGAATCATATAGCATGTTCATAATGAGTATTTTCATTATATATTTCAAATTTATATTTTAATTTTCTGGATTTTTAATTTGAAATTTAAAATTCCTATTTGAAAATAGGAAAAATTAATGTCATGTTGGTACTTCAGGGACGGAGAAGGTTCTGAGGAGATGTGAAAGTCCAGCATCTTGATAGGATGTAAATATATTTTTTGAAAACATACCACATTATGTGCTGTAAATCTGTGATCTCACTACCTATGAATATCTTTAAAACCATTTTTCAAATAGTCTGTAAAAGAGAAATATAAAGGCAGACATTTCTCTGTGAATGGAGTGATGTGCATTAATGTGGAGATTAAATAGTTTAATCAGCCATTTACTTACTAGGTTGATGTATTCTTATCACATTAGGCTTACATCAGTAGAAAATTTACCTCAGTCATTCTTCTTTATCTGGTTATATTATAGATTAGGTTTTCTCTGTTCATTTGGTACAAGGTTCTCAGTGGTTTTATATTCAACTGATTTTCATTTAAAACTTAGCCTATATATAATGTAGTTAGAGAAAACCTGTTACTTTTGCTATAGAAGGATAATCTTAATGTTTCCATTATGGGTAAACACAGGGTAAATTAAAATGCTACTATAGGAAAATTGATATATAAGTCCTACCATATTATTCATTTGACAGACTATCGACATTCTAATTCTGTGCCATGTTGGGAGTTTAAGTGTTTTATTTTCAGTTAATTGAAATAACAAGACAAATAATAGCATATGGAGTTTTCAGCTCTAATGAATTTTGAGAAAATTTGGTGGCACTAAAGAGCAGTGGTATCATTTTCTATTTAAGTCTTTTTTCTATCTGCCAAAAATGTTCAGTGTTGAGGTACAAATACTCAAGCAATTATTTCATTAGATACCTTCCTGATGTCTGCATATAGTAAAGAGTTGTTGAAGAAAATACCCCAGAAAGAAAAAGTGGTCAATTATAAAGTAATAGTAATGTAAATTTAGAAAAAAATGCCATATAAAACTTCAAAAATTATAATTAATCAGTTTGAAGTGAGTATGTAGTAAAATCTCTAACATATTAGAGATATATGGTCTCTAATATGTAATCTCTAATACGTTTTCTTAATTTCAGTTTATTATAGAGTAATTTCTTTCATAAACCTACAAGATATTTCATATCAGTACACAGAAGCAGCATTATCAAATATTTTATGTACTGGATTTAACTGAAGGTTGAATTAGTCAAATTTTGTTTTTTGAAACAGGATTTTGCTTTTAACCATTTAAAAGAATATTTTAAAGGCACGTATAGTTTTGATATTTCAAATGTTTGACATTTTTCTTAAGACTGTGTACCAAAAGTAAGAAAAAGTGGCTATGGTAAAGAGCAGATTGAATTGAAAAGAATGTCCATTTTTAAAAACTTTATGCCTGGCTTTTTGCCTAGTTCAGTTTGAGGACTTAATTTTGTTTCCTCATGATACCCAGAGGTGAAAAGAGGCAGCATCTGTTGGTTCAAATGAGGTAATCCAGAGACCAGACAGGGAAATGTTCTATCCTTTGTGATCTATCCATGTACAGCTGGATTCTGAAGTTCATGCACACATAAAAAGACTATAATTAAATTATCCTTTAATCCGAGTTTTCTACATTTCATTCAGTTTAATTCAATGGCAGTGTACTCTCTCGTATTTCTAGTTGAACGAAAGAAGAAAATGTCTGAAGATAACAGTGTAAAAACATTAACTGGGCATATGCTTACTTTGGTTCTAAAGTTTCACGGAACTAATTGTTTTGTTTCGTTTCAGAAATATGAGATGACCTCAGATACTTGGCTTTCTAAACAGGTACGGCAGAGGAGACTCTGTCACACTGTGACCGCGTGACCATCCTATTCACCGATTTATTACACAATAAATTTCTCTAAAAACTTATTTTACTTCCTTGACTAAAATTTTGGTATGTTTGACAAAGTGATTTGTTTCCATTAAAAATTAATGACTGGGCTTTTAAATATATCACTTGTAAATAGGTTACTTCTGTCTTTTTATGGGCTATAATGTCAGAATAACAGTAAGAATCCTTTTTCTGAATCAATCGTATAAGTAAGCAGTTCTGTAGGTAAAGGGAAAGTTGAAACCCCTTAAAACTAGAAACACCTGCATTATTCAGATTGCCCCCAAAATTGACCAAACCTCTAAGAAATTGGTCATTTGGAGATTATCCAGAAGAATCATGATTTCCTTCGAAATATCATGGCTTTTAATGATATTTTGTGACATAAGCAAGCTTGGAATAAGATGACTAAAATAGAGTTCTCCACCACCCAGTCTCAGACTGACAACTCAGAAGGAGGCACAACAGGTCTTGTGGGTGCAGCCGTTTCACTGTGAACTCTTTCACTGCTCTTCTGTGGACTGAGTTGTTCTGATGTGTTTGCTTGGGTTGTTGATTTATGTTCTGCTATATATCACATCACGTTCTTACATTTGGTGTCCTCTGCCTGGGTGCCACACAGATCTATGGTTTCACTTAGCACTCATATTGAGTCCTCCACATTTGTAGCCTTAGCTAGTTTGATGAGATCTGAAACTCATATTCATGCTTGGCTTCTCCTAAATCTATCAAAGTAACTTCACACAGCTCAGGTCTTCTTGTCTTTCTTCTTTCTTTTATATGGGGGGTAATTTAAATTTTTTTATCTCATTGAGTTTATTAGTACTGTTTAGCTATACAGTACAGTTATTTTCATCATCGAGATCTTGTAACTTTACATGATGTATTTTGGTTCTTATTTTTTTCCCGATACCCCTGTGCTCCCTTCACCCCCTCCTTATTAGTACATGTTTACAATACATAATGATTTATTTCACAGTAGGGAATTGGTACACATACATAACACATTTGAAATCCCCCCTCCGTTCCCTTTACCTCCTTTTTTCTAGCATCAGATTTATTTATTTGTTATAAGTCCTGGAAAAATTAATTACCATATATACAGATTAAAAACCAGTCAAAGAATGTGTAAAAGATGTAAGACAGTGGTACAATGTCAAGGTAGAGATTTAGATACATTGTCTGTGTTGCATTACAATACTCTTTCTCTCCCTCTTTTTTTTTTTTTTTTTTGTACTGGGGATCGAACTCAGGACCTTGGGCTTGCAAGGCAGGCAGTGGCACTTGAGCTAAATCCCTGGTTCTTTCTCTCTATATACCTCTTCTCTTTTATTTTATGTATATATAAAGTTTCATATAAGAGAAACCATGTGATATAGCATTTATACTTGTGTATCTGAGCCACTTTGCTTAATATTATCATCTCAAGATGCATCCATTTTCCTAAAAATGAATCGTTTATCCTTATTTATAGGAGAATAGTATCCTATTGTGTATAAATACATTTTCTTTATCCATTCATTCATCTGTTGATGGGCATATAGGCTATTTCCAAAATTTAAATGTTATGAATTACACTGCTAAAAATAGGAGTATGCATGTAACTCTGTAATACAATGTCTTTGATTCTTTTGAGAAGAATTGGGAATAGATGAGTCAAAGAGAATCAGTTTTAAGTTTTTTGAGGAATTTCCATACCTTTTATCACAGTATTCAATAACATAATTTTTATTTAGCTAATTAATAAAATTATTAACCCTGTGGTTATCCTGGAACATTGATTAATCCTTATCTACATATAAAATTGATCACCAAAATTTTGAATTATCTTTTCACAACTCTATCAAGCCAATCAAATTTTCTATAATTCACGAACACTGTCCAGATTCAGACCTTGAGAACCACAGTCCTTTCGTAATCAGCAAACTGTCAGCCCATCAGACAGCTGCCCATCTGTTCATGATCCAGGCTGAGTGACTTTTCTGAAACCTATAGATATCTATAGATATATGTGATTGTCACTCTCAACATCACCCTCTTACTCCCACTGCCTCCACTCGAGCACTCTCTGTCTGTTCCTTCGGATAATGGCCACCTTGTAGATTGTTCCAGTTCTGTGCACGCCATTGCTACAACCATTTTCCCCCTTCCGACCATGTCAGCTCTCAATGCAACGGGCCTTCCTTGTGAACAAAGTTTTGTGAAAAACTGTTTATTTGTTGCCTACTCAGTTTTTTCATTCTTAGTTTAAATAATCTACTTGAGGATTCACCTTATTCACCAATAACCCTAAACCTATCATATCCCCCAATAAAACTTAAATTCAAATGTAATATTTGTGTAATGCTTATCCAACTATTTCTATGAATTCTTTAAAAAACAAGGATGTTTCTTTTTTCTTCTCCATTGTAATTCAGATGCCTGACATTGAATCCATTATGTAAGAATAGCTGTATATGTTTGTTGACTGGATGAAAAGAATAGGATAACAGGACTCCATATAGGCTAAATACTAACTCAAAATTTACATATACAAATAAGTGGTTACATACATACATATAGTCTATATATGTGTGTGTGTGTGTGTGTGTGCGTATACACACAAATATCTATTAATGCAAAAATTTATTTTAGTAAATGTTCAAGATAAATCAGAATAAATCTTGATTTTTTAGTCAGTAATTGATAATAAAATAAAAAACAAGAATATAATGCATATTTATGTATTCTGATTTGCTTTGCTTTATTGAATCTATTTTTCTATCATTTTTGTGACCAGTCACATTTATAATAGTTCAATAGACATCAGTGTACCTAAATCTAAACATCCTGTTTATAAATGTTTAATAAAAAAGTTAAAGCAAATTATTCATTTATTAAATATTCAGTAAAATATAAAGTTCATACCTTATCATATTTGATTTTTTCTCCAAAAGTTCTCAGAGCATTTTATTAAATTCTTAGAATTACATGAAATTCAAATTCAAAGGATGATCATATTAGCAGAAATAAGAATCAAATATCTAATATACCTTATAGTTAGAAATTTGACAGAATTGCAAGCTCACTTTCTGGATAGTAATATGCCCAGAGAAGTCGTGTGCTTGGCCTAGCATTCAAGGGACTTTACACTTGGGGTGTGCAGCATGCAGTATGTTTGGTCAGGGAACAGCATTTAATATCCAAATCTGAGGCCATGTATGCCAGCACTATCTGTGAGTTCACAAAGGAAGATGGCTCCATAGAGCCGAATATTTTCCCCCAGATCCTGTTTACCAGTGCAAATTTGTAAACCCAACAATGTAGTTGAAATTATAGCCTCAATCTACTTTTTTTCTGTGTCATTGTTAATGAACTACAATTGAAAGGGGAGGCTATATGTAGAATACTCAGATATCTGCGTAACATAAAATAACCATCTTTTCAGTGAAGCACTAAGAGACAATAGTGAGTGAAGGAGGAACTATCGGAGGAAATTTATAGATACAACATTAAACTGAAATATTTTTACCTATTGCACACGCGCATTCCTGTACTCAACAACTGAGTCAGGCACTGTGTTCCATGCAATTAATGCAGTGCATTAAAAGCCATGAAGGAGGTGAATAAATATACTTTTTAGACTGTCAGAAGAGAAATTTTTTGCTAGGGAAGATTCTATAACTTGCAAAATTTGAAAAATGGTTTATACCTCATGAGACTAAATAAAAACTGAGTAAGAATTAGAATCAAAAGAAAAGCTGTCCCAGAAGAGCAGGGGATGGAACAAATAGAATTATTCATTGTATCATAGTTGATCAATGGAATTCACTCAGTAGATGAGTAGATGTCTCTGTCTACTAAATACCTAACTATAAAAATTTTCTCAACTTGGAATTGCATATTATTTGAATTCTTTCAGTTTATCATATTCTTATAATTTCTTGAATGCCCATAAATAAATAAAATAGTATCTCTGTATTACTATTCAGAGACATTGTTACTAATGAAACTAATATTGGACTCCCTGGGGTGCTAAAATAGCCATAAACTGACTTGTTTATTCAATAAATAATTACAGTACAGACAAGAATTCCCATGGACTACAGTGCTAGAAATAGTGCAGTGAAGAATACAAGATTTCTGCCTCACGATGCTCACATTATTAAAGAACACTGTACTTACATACATATATGCTACTTCCATAAACACACAAACACAGACAGGGAGACAAATGCACATATAAATAAAATATTTGTCGAATGGTGTAATGTGCTATAAAAATTTTTAAAAGAAGGTTAAAAAGGGTATGAGGTAAAGTTGGACAACCTGGCTTCTCTCTTCTACCTACATAGGGTAATCTGGAAAAACTTCACTGATACGTGAAATTGGAAAAGAGACAGAAGGCAAAAAGAGTTAGGTAAAGATAGTAAAATCTGTGAAGGTTATGGAGTAGAAACATGCAGGAGATCAGAGAGAGAGCCGCAAAAGAAGACGAGAGCATCAGAAAGCAGATGTCCATCTACAAGAGTTGTAAGGTTTTTAAAGACCTACAGAGGAAGCCTTTCTTTATACCATAGATATATAACCACTGTCATTAATCTGGCAGGAAATAATTCAATGTTTTGTCACATAAATCCATTTTCTTGACACCCTTCCTAAAACAAAACAATCAAAATGTATGACTTCCATGGTTTAATTTTCAAAATTAATTTTATTTATTAATATGCCACTACAGTTTAATTTAAAAAATCAATTATGGGTTTACTGTTTTTTTTTTGTTTTTTTTTTTTTTTTTTTTTTTTTTTTTTTTTTTTTTTTTTTTTTTTTTTTTTTTTTTTTTTTTTTTTTTTTTTTTTTTTTTTTTTTTTTTTTTTTTTTTTTGCATCTGTGGAGAGATAAGTAAGGAAAATGGGAAATTTGGGTTAAATCATTTTCTCTATCTTCATTTTGTAGCTTTTATGCTTTCAGTAAATTTTGTATAAAATGTAAGAAATGAATCTTCAAGTAACTAGAGATGTTCAGTAAAAGTACAGAAAAATATATTAGCATGTTATGGAATTTTGTAATTTTTAAAAAATATATATTTTCATAAGCTACTGCAGATGTTCACATTTTTTTATCTTTGAAGAATAAATAGCCAAGGACAATCTCATACAAAGATACGAAAAATCCTTGTGTAAATCAATTTAAAATGTGTACTTAGTGAAGTTTTAAATCATTCCCATCCACTGTGAAATTGCTCTGTTTTCTCACCACTCAACATACAAACACTATGTGTTACTAACTTAATTTTAAAAAAAGAAATGTCATATACTTTATGTTTTAAATTGTATAACCACTATGGAAATCAGTATGAGATTACCTCTCAGAATTAAAGCTAGAATTGTAATTGACCCAGCTATTTCCTTCTAGATACCTTCCTGCGTTAAAGACATCATATCATAGTGATATATGCATATTGTTTATAACAGCACAATTCATAATAGCTAAATCTCAAAAACACCCTATGTCCATCCACAGATAATTCACTACTCCTGTGCCATAAGATGGCTAAACATGAGTCATTTGTCGGAAAATGGATGTACCTTCAGACCATAATGCTAAGAGAAAAAAGTCAGAAACACCAGCTTAAATATTACATGGTTTATATTAAATCTTATATTATAAGCTTTGTGCAGTGGCAGTATCAAAACCAATGAGGTTTAGCCAAGGCATGATTGTTGCTAATTGAAAATTTAAATCTTATATTATAAATGAAGAGCAAGATAAATAACAGATAATAAAAAGTAGGAAGATAGATCTTTCTCAAATGAGACGAGGATTGAAAGAAGGGAGGGGAGAAGAATAAGTTGTGTTTTGTATATATCCCAGTTCTACAGAAGGAATGGAAACACGCACTAATAAAAGAAATATTTTGACTATCTTGCAAACTAATTCTAAGTCAATACAAACCACGTTTGGCTCTGTAGTGTGAAAGAGAACATGTCCCGTGCCGTTTTCCGAGTTTCACACGTGCTTCTATATTTCAGAATGAGGAACCTGTATTTTCCAGAGATGGCAGCAAATTCTTCATGACAGTTCCTGTAAAGCAAGGAGGGCGTGGAGAGTTCCACCACATAGCCATGTTCTTTGTTCAGGTACGTGCTGGCTTCTCTCTGTGGTATGACTTCATTGTTGTTATGTCCCTGGAAACCCAATTTTTGTGACACTGAACCCAGAGAGTGCGTCTAGTTAGAACCAGCGCAGCAATGTGTAAGCAAAGGGTCCCCATCCATGACCTAAATTCACTGTATTTTCACAGAAAACAGTATCCACACACCAAAAAACATAGTGAGGCTGCCATTGGTTCAACAAACGGAGGGCCTTTGAGTATATAATTTGATAAATTAAAAGAACCCAGATATTACATTCCAAGGAAAATTTAAACAACAGTTTTTATTCAGCCAATATTTATCTCTTCAGTAATATTTTCAAAGTGCTATAAAAATTTTGAATGCTCATCACAAACTGAATGTCCATCAAAATTGAAGGGGTGAGTAAATGAGAGGTACACAAACAAAATGTAATGCAGATTTTTTTAAAGGTTAAAACAGATTTTTTATGTGCTGCCCCAACTACAGAGGCTAAGCTATATTTTAATGGGTTTTTTTTTTTTTGGTATAAAAAGAAAAAATTGTTTTTCCTCCAACCTTCAAAAGAATAGTATCAATTTCAAAAATTACATTTAATTACTTTTAAAAATCGTAAATTCACAGTAGATAGGTTAATATAGTAAGATTGTAGGCAACTTGAATTTAATTTTCATTAAGAATAAAGCATCCTTCAAAATCAAATAGCCGCCCTAGCCTCACAGGTAAAAGGCTTTCTAACAATAAATCACTGGAAATGAATTGGAATCTTTATGAGAATGTTACAAAAGCTAGCCAAGAATTTCATACCTAACCAACACATGGAGAATATAAATGTGGCAAACGTTTCCTATCCAAATTGGATATTTTCAAGTTCCTAGAACTATGAACTCCTGCATATTCTGAAAAAGTTGTTATCTTTATGCATATTTGTATTGAGATCTATCTAATGCTCTGACTTTTCAAAATCTTGTGTCAACAGTTTAAACTTTAAAACTTGTACAACATCTGTATTATTAAAGTACTTGTCATATATTTAACTTTAATTTTAATCAATGGTGAATTAAATAATTTAGAACAGATATACTTCCAAAGTAGAGACGTAGATTGATTTTCATAGAATATTTATTAAGGCAGACATGCAGATTAGACTACTCTGTAATGTTGAATTAATGTAGAATTAATATTCTAAGTGAATCTATACATTTATATGAACAAAATTTTGGGTGTTTCTTTAGCAAACTTGCCAGATTGTATCAAGGAGGTAGTGGTTGTAGCTAAAAATTACTTTTTAACGCAAAAACTGGAAATGTCACTAGGAAATTGTTTTACTTTTGGGGAGATAGGCTTTGTTAGAACGAATATTAGGTAGTGTTTGGCAAAAAGATATTTTCTAATTCTTATAAATAATTGTGGCATTACATTGACTTTTTAAATTTCAGTATTTTATATTCAACAAGCTATGTAAAAAGCTAAGTGGTAAAAATTTTATCTAAATCATGCATACTATAGTGAGACAGGAAAAGGTATACAATATATACAATAAATATTTATATTATATTTATATTCCCCAAAGGAAATCATCTATTCAGCATATCAGGAGGATAATGTCTAGAATAGTATTAGACAGAAGGATGATTTTGGCATGCGAGATGAGTTATTTACATACCTAACCCAAAAATTTTTTAAGTCATGGGAAAAAATATCTTCTGCCCTAAATTTAAAAAGCTGACCTGTAATCCCATTCATTTTCTTCTTCATGAAAGGAAAACTTCACAAAGGAGGTGTGCTTGCTTTGTTTCTCTTCTGTATAGAGACCATAACAAAGCTTTTTTATTAAACTAGAAAATATTTTGTTTTGTTCTAATTACTGCTCAGAGTATTCATGGTTTGCCTGACTGAAAACTGGACATGACTATGATTGTTTATGGATATTTTGAGGGTAGACTAAAAATTATTTTTAATGAATCAGAGGTCTGTACTAGATAAATACAGTTTATCCTTATGTTCTCACGTGTCTGTAAACACGTCTGTACAACCCTTACACAGATACACACAGATACATGCATTATTTTATAAAATATTTTGTAGTTTCTTGTTTCAGTATAATAATAGTTAATAGGGCCAGGAATTTAGCACAGTGGTTCTGCTGCCTGCCTCTCAAGCGCAAGGTCCTAAATTCAATCCCCGTAACAACAAAAAAGCTAATAAAAAAGTTGTCTTGTGAATTCTAAGACTGCCTTAGTGAGAGGGCGATAGATATATGATGCACTAAAAAAATTAAGAGAAATTACTTCTAGATTTTGTATGATTTGGAGATAAATACTCATATATAAACACATTTTTCTGTCTACAGTTATTTTCCAAAAAACACGTTTCTAGATGTTAAAAAATCCCTAATTCAAACATGCATACACATGTGTGAGGTATTTGTTTCAGTTTTAGTATACAGCCCAAAATTTGCTCAAGAAAAAAACATAAATTTACAGTCTAAAGAGTCAAGCTCTCTTACATTGGCGACGTGGTACCGTCTTCTCACTTTTGCGATGCTGTATTATTTCATTAAGTTTGCCAGGCCCAGGAAAGGTGAAGAGGCAGAGCCCGGAGCCTCAGCCGCCCCCATTTCCAAAGACCACTGCCTTAGTACTGGGTGCTGTGTATTTGAGTGCTTCCTGATTCACTGAGACTTTGTTTGTTTACCTCAAGTACTCACTAAATGAAATTACTAAGTTTTTGTGAACATTGTACTTTTTACACAATCAGTAAATAGATTAAAGCCATTAGAAGCTATCCTACCAAATTATTGTTCTGGGGCTATTTTCATTATGTAAAGTGCGGGATGTCATTACAAATATTTACAAAAGCTTTTCTCTTTTAAAGTAAATTCCAAAAAATAAAAAGAGAAAGAATTCATGTAAGTTCCTCTAGCTTTTCATTAAAATGTGATTGTAATTTTATGTAAACTATGGTATTACATCTTTGTAATTTAAAATTAAAATACCAGGCTTCTCATATAAAATGGTTTTTGGAAAGAATTCCATAAAAATTAATATCTAGTTGACTGGAGGTACACAGATAACCATTATTGTTCAATGTATAATTGAAGGCAAATTTGTCATCATATCATAGATGGCATTTTACATAAAGCTTATGTATCTTATGAATTATTTCTTCATATTGCTTAATAGAACTAGAATTGCTGGATCAAAAGTGAAATATTTCTTTGCCCTTATATTTTCATTTCCAGATTGATTTTGTTGTATGTGTAAACAGATTTTGTGAGCATTTTCTCTGTTTTTTGTGGGGCTTCTTTTGGTTTTTTTTTTGTTGTTGTTGTTTGTTTGTCTGTTTAGTACCGGGGATCGAACTCACATCCTTGCGCTTGTGAGGCAGGTGGCGGAACCACTGAGCTAGATCCCCAGCCCTCCCCTTCGTGATACAGTGAACCAAAAACAGTGTTTAAAAATCTGAGCAAAATAATGATGGATGATAGGAAGGAGCTGAAGAGAGCGAGGGAAGTGGGATGCGGAGGAGGAGAAGATGAATTTTAAAACAGGATTAAAATATGCTGTATACGTAACTCACTCCCCATGAGGAATATAATCATGTACTACAAATGTGTACCAGTAAAAATTTAAAAATGAAGAAAGGAATACATAGACAAAATCTATGACTTTTCTGAAAAATAATAGAGCAAAAAATTGTTTATTTGAACAACTGAATCTATTCTCTTATATGCAAAATTGTTCTTCTGAACAAATATTTGCTGTACACAGATTAATATCAAGTGATGTACTTCCTGCAACTCACTCTGAGTCAAAACTTCTTTTACCTCAGACCACTGAACTTCTGATTAGTTCATATCCTGCCATTCCTTTCTCTCAAAATAATATTTGTTACAGATTCTGAATTGTAACTCTTGAGTTGTAACATCCTACTTGCTGCAATGGCTGCAGTTAAGAGACAGACTTTTGTCAAACACAGACCTCCTTTTCTCTTAAATGTGGGGTAAGCACAGTTTCCATTAGGTGAAGTGGTTCATATTCACAGACATAAGCAATTGCACTATCACCTTCCAGAATTGCGTTAAATGAAAAATTATATGTTAGTCAATCGATTCACTTTCTCTATTCAGCAACATGAAGTTTTGCCTACGAGAGCTGATGATTTCACTTGGAACAATTTTAAATGCTATTATTCATTGCAAAAACTAGAAAATATCATGCCCCCAATTCACAATTGTATCACCTAATCAAGCCAATGAAATTTTTTCATTAAATTTCACTGCTGTATCTGATTAGGACATTGTCTGAAAACAATTAGCTTATTTCATATGGTGAATAGACAGTAAATTAAAGCATGCTATTTTTGAGCATTGCATTTCATTTGCCTTATTTACCAGCTGTAAAAGTTAAACCTAATTCATATCAGATATGAGTGAAGACAGCATAGTCAGGTGAAACTCTCAGGCACTATTAAATTTTACTGATACCAATGTGTTTCCAATTTTTTAACAAGAACACAAAATGATATTTACCTTCTTTGCTGGAGATAAAACCCCCACAAATTTAGTCTCAAGTTAAAAAGGGTAAGGAAGGTATAAGAATTTCAACCTTTTTTGAAGAATGTCAGTGGTTTGACTGTATTTATTCTAAAATTAAAGTTGAAATATAACTTCAATTTTAAATATATTACATTACCACACTGTGTCACAAGTCTACGATGACTTTATATTCATATTTGTATTCAGTGTTTCTATTTGATCAAGTTAATATATTAGATTGTTTATGAATAGAAGATAAGATATGTTAAAGTGGACTAAAATGAGCTGTTCTTCTCTACATTGTTAAATTTCTTTTCCTGCTGTTTTATTTCTGCTAAAAGTGTTTGAAAAACTAACAAGTTCAGTCACTCCCACTCACTGACTGGTCAAGTCCCTTGAACTTTTGATGTGTCCTCTGTGACAGTCCACTATGTTCTGATTGCCATTAGGACTATTTATTTGGAGG